AATGAGATGGATTGACACTGGCTGCAACAATGGGCTCAAGTATAGCAAGAATTGTGAGGATGGTGCAGGACTGAGCAGTGTTTGATTCTGTTGTCAATATGAGTCAGAGTGAACTCAAAGGCACCTAACAACAGCAATAATAGTAAAAGCCAAGAGCTTTGGTGGTGCAATGGTTAAAGCATTCAGTTGCTAACCAAAAGTTCAGCAGTTCAAACCCACCAGCTGTTCTGTGGGAGAAAGATGAGGTAGTCTGCTTCCATAAAGATTTTCAGCCTTGGAAGCCCTACCGGGTAGTTCTACTCTGTCCTATAGGGTTGGTATGCATTGGAATCAACTTCATGACAGTAGTTTTTGTTGTTGTTGTTGTTTTTAATAGTAAAACCTTAGATTGCCTGGAATACATTGTTAGGAGAATTATGGATGTCAAAGACAATTCTGGTGATGGTTCAGAAGGAAATGGGGAGAGCTATAGAGAAAGTGTCTGTCATCTTAAAGAATACATAAGGTGCCAGCAATAGAATGTTGCTAGAAGTGTGAATGCTAAATGTATTTCTGGTGAGACTTTAAAAGAAAATGATGAAGATGTGATTGGAGAATGGAGGAAGAATGATGCTTTTTGTGCAGTGGCAAAGAACTTGTCTGAATTATATTCAAATGCTTGGTGGAAGGTAGAACTTATTAGTGATGAACCTGGATATCTGGCTGATACAATTTCTAAGCAAGACCTTAAAGGGGACAGGTGGTTTCTCCTGGCCACTTATAGTAAAATGTGAGACAAAAGAAATGGACTTAAAAATGAATTGTTCACAATAAAAACAGAACTTAACGATTTGGAAAATTCTGTTGTAGAAACTAAGGACATGTGTCCCAGTATGTTCACTAAGGAAGTGGCTACACAATCATTTGTTAAAGAGATTAAGCCTGAGACTGATGGATTCTACCAACTACCACAGCAGAAAGCCTATCAACCTAGATTGAAGGGAACAGAGAAATAACAAAAAGGACGTTGTCTGCCTCTTGGAATTCTACAGGCAGGAAACAAACGAAAGGAGCTAGCTATATTTGTTCTCCAAGAGAAGAAAAATACCATCCCTGGAGCAGCTCAGAGATCAGCAGAACTGTTGGAAGGAGTATGGGAATCAGGATCTTCTTGATTTCAAAGGGTGGGGCCACAGTCTCCTAGGTTTCAGTGTCAGATTTTCACCAACTCGGTTCTGGAATGTGAGGCTGCTGTTAAGGTGTGCCAGGGGGATGGGGCCACTGTGCAAAGCTGAGGGAGTGTGGCTGCCCTGCCTAAGGGGCAAAAGAATGGGACCTGTTGGGGCTGAGAGGGTGAGGTCTCCATTCAAATGGACTAGGACAATGAGGCTGCCCCAAACCAAGGGAGAACAGTTGCCATTACAGAGGGTCTGGAAAACAGAGTTTAAGCTCAGGGCCAAGGGGCCTCCACTCAGAATCGAGAGGACATGGCCAACACCCAGAGTCTGGAGGACAGAGCCATTGCCTAGATGATCTCAGAAAGGAGAGGATTA